GGCCTCTTTAAGGACACCTTCCTTAGAAAATCAGGACTTGTGATAAAAGTGGGCCAGGAATGGGGAGGGCATTCAGATCCAAGGCAGCTCTGGGGCCACAGCACCAGGGGATCACATCTTTCACTCCTGCCCCTGCCTCTTCTTGCTTCTGCTCGGCTTTCTCCATTTCCCCAGCTCAGATTCCTGAGAGAAGCTGGGTGGTCCTGACAATCATCGTCACAGCGGTTTGGACAGAACTTTTGAGCCAGGCCCATCCTCCAGGTCCTTAGCCATGTGTAGGGATGTGCCCACGGGCAGAGAGCATGGCTTACACCTTGGCCAGTTGACTAAGAGCAGTCTTATCGCATCTGACGTTAAAGATAAACAAAACCAGCTGGTAGTTAAAGTGCTCGGGATGCACTTGAATCAGTAATGCACAATTGCAATAGGAAAAAGAGACCAGCATGGACGGAACTAAATTTTTATTTGTACAGAGGTGACTGGGCATTTTAAAGGGACAATGCGGACACAGGGCAGGGGTGAGTGGGGGCTCAGTAGAGTCAGGGAAGTGAAAAATTACAAAAAGCAGGAGGGGGTTGGTCCCTATGAAAGCCATCTGGCGCTTGTCCCATTTGGTTCCTCCCCTCCCAGAGAGGCTGTGAGGCAGGGACCTGTCTTCAGGCGTTGGCTGGACGAACAGTAAATTCTTTTGATAATCTTGAGATTTCTCAGGCGGGCGCTTTAGGAGAGGGGAGGGCCATGCGTTGGTTTTGAGCTGTTAACATCTATGTTAGTGTTCTGTTCACATCTGCACAGGCCAAAGTGGAGGCCTCGTAGATGAAAAGGCTCAGGAGAGCCTGGTTAGGGTTTGAGCAAGGAGAGATTCTTTGTCACTGATCCCCTGAACACCCTGGGAAGTCAGTGTGACCAGTGAAGAATTGGGGGAGAGAGTGTGTCTTAGTGCCCCTCAGACATAAGAAGAGTACTTGGCAGCTTGCCTTGACCAGCTCCCTGCGAGTCCCCTCCTGCTCGCTGCTCTCCTCACCATCCCCACTGCCTGCCCAGATCCACTCTAATGGCACTTAGCAGCGGCATCTTGGAATTGTCTCCTAGTATTTTTATGTCCAGAGAAGAAGTATGTAGGGTTCCTATTCCTCTGTGTCCCCATGGCTGGGTCAATACATGTTTAAAGATCGGCCAATAACAGGGAGTCTACAATGACCTACATAAAGGCAGCACAAAGAGATGCAACCCAGAGTTGAGATCCCCAGTGACTATGTGAACAGTGAGTGCCTGGTCTTCATCCTGGAGCACCACCACTCCTGCCTGAGCTGGAGGGATCCGTGAGTGGGCACAGCACTCATTCTCAACAGCCAGGCACCGAAGAGTAAGCCTGGAACCAGAGAGACAGAGAAATCTGAGGCATTCGGCTGGAGATTCCAATCGTACTGACTAAAAAAGCCATGCATCCAACCAGCCATCTGGTCTCCAGCCCATCTATTCCTCAAACATTTACTTAGCGTTTTCAGCCAGCCAAGCATAATATTAAGTATTGAGGGATCATGGACAAATAAATCATCATCTCTCTTCGCAGGGAACTCTCCCCAGGGGGAAACCTGATATGTACAGGTAGCCCTCCGGGACAGAGCGTGGCTTGAGCTCTCCCAAGCAATGCCCTCTGGTCTGAGGAGTGCCAGTCTGCCTCCATCTTGGACCTACTGGTTGAACCAGCTTAACTCTGGTACAGCTTAGGCAGTACTGAAAGTGGCCAGCATTGGAAAGAGCCAGGATCTAGAAAGGGCGGGACTTGGCATCCCTGTAATAGCTGGTTGCTTACTCTCTCTGAACCTCAATTTCCTCATTTCTAGATGTGGGGTTGGACGGGGCAGTCACTGAGGTCTCTACGAGCTCTGACATTCTGTGTTCTTATCCAGAATGCCTCAAGGACAAATACAACACTTATTTACCCATGCATCCTTAATACCCTGCCCAATTTGGAATATGGTAGCAATTCCTTAAGTGCATCTGTGAACATCTGGGTGTCCCTACTGTGGGGGCACAAGGCAAAAGCTCTGCCCATGTCTCCCCATCCAAAGGGTGCCTCCACTCACTCTCCCTCCCCTTTCCATGCTTCTGTTCCCATCGATGCGCTCATTAACACTTGGTTGTAATTATATATGTATTTGTTTTTCAGCTTTCTTGTTCATCTTTCCCACTAAAGTAGCAGTCCACGAAGGCAGAGATTGTTCCTAGATGTACCCACCTAGCACAGGAGCAGGCCCCTAAGAGATGGTCAGTCACTGATTTCACTCAACAAAGAAGCAAACAGAGTGAGTTCAGGATGGCGGAGCAGAAAGGATAAGGGAGAGCCTCCAAACATCAGTCCTGGCTGTCCAACCTGACCCAGTCTCCTCCTATTATTTTCACCTGACACCCTGAACTCTGCCTGGGCCATTTGGACCCACTGCATCCTCCTTCTGCTTCCCCTCTGCTTATGATCCCACCCAAGGCTTCTGTTGGAGGCCTCCCGGCTATGGTGGCCCTCTGCCTCCTTGTCAGGTGCTGACAGAGGAGAGGCAGGTCTGTGAGAAGTCAAGGCTGACATCTTGGCCTCAGCCAAACCTACCCAGGGCCAAGCCCCCAGCCAGCCAGCGGCCAGGCCTTCGCGGCTCCTGGCTCCAGGTTAGCATGCAAGGGGTTTCTCTGTCTCAGGCCTAGCCTCTGCCTTCCAGCTTCTCTCCAGGTTTTCCTTCTCTCCAGATTTTGTGTTCCTTTGCTCATCCTCGGCTTTTTTGACAACCTAGGGCTCTGGTTGGCAAACTGTGGCTCGCGAGCCACATGCGGCTTTTTGGCCTCTTGAGTGTGGCTCTTCCACAAAATACCACGGCCTTGGCAAGTCTATTTTGAAGAAGTGGCATTAGAAGGAGTTTACGTTTAAAAAAACTTGGCTCTCAAAAGAAATTTCAATCGTTGTACTGTTGATATTTGGCTCTGTTGACGAATGAGTTTGCCGACTACTGGCCTAGAGGGACTTGCAGTAAATGTGCACGGAGAGAACAGTAAGAGATGCGGGAAGCATACAAAATATCATTAAAGTTGTCACCCCGTAATTTCTCAGCAGCTTGGAAACAGTGTGCTGTCCTGGTGACTTCTTTGGTTCCCCCGAGCAGAATATTGTGGGGTTTTCCCTGCCCAGGCAGCATGTAGCAGACACATGGCCAGTTCTGCCTCCTCTCCTTTTTCGTATGGCACAAATGTGGGGTTTATCAATTCTGCCATCTTCTCCAGGGATCTGTGAAGGTCTTTGCCAAGGCACAGTCATTAGAAGCAGGAATCCCCCAGCCCACCTGGCCAAGAAAAGGGAGGGAAGATTGTGGTAGGCTGGCATGGCCATGGCATACTCAGCCCCAGGACACCTTCTGGGCTGCGCCAGCTCAGCCAGGTTCAGTGACCCTGAGTGATGGCGGCTAAAAGGCTTAGAAAAACAAGACAAGAGAATGAAAGCTGAGTCTTGGTAGGACGCTGCTTCCTCACGGAGAGACAGCACCACCAACTACAAGCCGTCTCTGTACTTTATAGCAGATGCCACGAGGCAAAGTAAGGGCGTGGTCAAGATGTTTACAACATTCTCGGGAGTTTCAATCCTACTCAACTACATGCACCTGATCCAGCTTTGTTTACTTGCAGCCTGTATCACTCAGGCCACGTGTTCGGACCATAGGTTCAAGCTTACAACTACAGCTGTTGGCTATCATTGTGCTGGGAGGGCTCTGCCCTCCAAGCTGGGACTTGCACGTGGCCACGAGAGGACTGTGCCCTCTCATCAGTTCAAGGCTTGAACCTGTCCAAACTCTGTAGCCGCGCCCCACAGAAGATGTAGTCCAAGGCCGCAGCCCTTATAGGAGCAGAACTTCAGAGGGCTGCTGCTTCCTCTGGCAGTTCAACATGGGGGCCTCCTGCATCACGGCACCCACTTACCTCCACCCTACACGTCCTAAGTGACTTCTGGCTACAAAAAAAAAAAAAATACAACTTTGACATCTTCCCTGGCCTTAGAATCATGAACACTGGAGCTGAAAGAAATATTACAGAGCATCTGAGCCTGTCACACCTGGCACCAGTCCACACATATATGACCTCAAAATCGTTTGGGGCATGTGAAAAATACAGGTCTCTGATTGCTGCCACCAAGATTCGGACCCAGGAGGTCTGAATGGGCTCAGGAATCTGCATTTTTCACAGGCAGAGCCCAATGGCTTTTCAGAGGAGTGAAACTAAGCTGTATGAGATTATATAGGCAGATACATTTTTCCAGAGGCAAAGAATGTACAACACCAAAGAGTGAACCCTAATGGAAGCTGTGGACTTCAGGTGGTGATGACATGTCAATGTTGTCAATTGCAACTAATGTGCCACTTTGGAGAGGGATGTTGATACTGGGGGAGGCTGTGCATGTGGGGGGATGGTGTGGGGAACCTCTGTACCCTCCTGTCAATTTTGCTGTAAACCCAAAAGTGCTCTTAAAAAGTAAAGTCTATTCTCACAGATATGGCTGCCAGGGGAGGGGGGCTGGGAGGCTGGGTGACAAAGGTGAGGGATTAGAGGTACACATTGGTAGTTACAAAATATTCACAGGAACGTAAAGTACAGCATGGGGAGGACGGTCAGTGTTATTGCGATAACTGTGTTGGTGCCAGGTGGGCGCTGGGAACATCGGGGGAGCACTTTGTGAGGTGCTGTACACCTGAAACGAATATGAATAATAGTCCATGTGAACCGTAATCTAAAAAAAGAAAATAAATTCCATTCAAAGAAAACAAGAGGGGGCGAGAAGGAGGCTGATAAAGGGCCGTGGCCACCCAGCACGGTTTCGGCCGGTCACGGTTTGGGTTGTGGCTGTAGCCGCGGCCCCTCTTCCCTGGGCAGGAGGGGTTGGTGGAGGGGAGTCCGGGAAGAACCTGGAGGTAAGCCAGGGGGTTAATATCCAGAGCAGAGGAGTGACTGTGGGCTGCTCCCAACAGGTGGCCTGGAGTCCCTGATGATCCGGCTGGTGAATGGCTCAGGCCCACACGAGGGCCGGGTGGAGGTGTACCACGACCGGCGCTGGGGCACCGTGTGCGACGACGGCTGGGACAAGAAGGACGGGGACGTGGTGTGCCGCATGCTGGGCTTCCGGGGCGCACAGGAGGTGGCCCGGACGGCTCGGTTCGGGCAAGGTAAGGCGCTCCGGAGGAGAAGGCCACGGGGAAAAGGCCCAGGAATCCTAGGACTGGTCTCCTCTCCATAGCCCGCGTCCCTCTGCAGCCCTCCTGCCATGGCCACCTGGCTCTGCCCAGAGAGAAGCTCTCTGTCCCCCAGGCAAGCCAGCCCATCTTCGGACAGTGCTGACCGTGCGGACCGCGGCAGGGACTTGTGGGAAATACATGAGAGGAGGGGCCACGTCCTGTCCAGACAGGGAAACGGAGCCAGGTCCCATCCAGACTGGCCGTGGAGCCCTCCACGGCTCCCACTGCTGTCTTGCTCACTCCCATGAAGGGCTGCTGCAGCTCTTGCTCAGTATTGTGTCCCTTAGACCTCAGTCACTGTTATGCACTGGATATTTGTATCTCCCCCAGACTCACGTGCTGGGATGCTAATCCCCAACATGTTATCAGGAGAGGGGCCATTTGGACATGGGTGGGGCCTTCTGACGGGATTAGTGCCCTTATAAAGGGGGCCCCTAAGAGCTCCCTCTCCCTCCTCCTGTGAGGAGACACAGAGAAGTCTAAACCCAAAAGGGGGCACTCACCAGAGCCTGACGACCTGCTGGCTCCTGGTCTCAGACCTCCAGCATCTGGAGCTGGAGAAATAAATGCCTGTGGGACTTTGCAACAGCAGCCCGGCTGCCTAAGACAATCACACTGACCGAAAGTGGCTCTTGGTGAAATCTGTTGTGACAGCTGGCGGGGTGCGGCCACTTGACCCCACACATACCAGCCTCCCTACTTCAAAAGCCAGCGTGTGCAGGGGCTCAGAGGGCCCCGCCCAGGAGGCCAGCCCCCCAGGCCACCGGGCAGAGCACTCACCTCCCATTTAATATGTGGGGCTGAATTTCAGCCTCTTTTCTTTAACAAAAACTGCCATTTTTGGTTGCATAAGGAACAGAAATAGTAGAGACAGTCCTCATTGTCAGTGTTTGAGTCTAAGGAGGACTTGTTCCTAATAAGTGAAAGTAAAACATTATTTTTTTTGGGGGGGGGGGGTGGATGATAAACTTTTAGAGAAGCCAAAATGGGCTCCTCATCCTCCCTGTCCTCGATTTCAGAGAGGCAGGGAGAGAGATATAGAGACATAAATGGCGAGAGAGAACCATTGATCGGCTGCTTCCCGCATGCCTCCTACTGGGGACCGAGCCCACAACCCGAGCATGTGTTCTTGACTGAAATCGAACCCAGGACCCTACATCTGCAGGCTGACACTCTATCCACCAAGCCAAATCAGCCAGGGCTGCACTCCCTTCTTTCCACGGCAGTTTCTAGGCATCACCTGTGGGCCAGAGCTGGGCTCAGTGCAGAGCCACGGCGATGAGAAACCTAGTCTCTGCCCTTAGATTTTTAGAAAGAGAGGAAGGGGGAGAGAGAGAGAGAGAGAGAGAGAGAGAGAGAGAGAGAGAGAGAGAGAGAGAGGGAGAGAGAGAGAGAGAAACATCTATGTGAAAGCAAACATCAATTGGCTGCCTCCTGCACATTCCTTACCAGGGATCGAGCCCACACCCCAGGCATGTGCCATGACAGGGAATCAAACTAATGACCTCTTGGTTCATAGTTGTCACTCAACCATGGAGCCACACCAGCTGGGCTATTCTGTCTTTTAATGTTACTCTAAATAAACATGCAGATGCTAAAACGTTAGCTCCATGAAGCAGAGAGATTTCTGTCAATTCTATCCTTTCCTGTTCAATAACATAGTCCAAATACCCAGAATAGTGCTGAGCATGGAATGGGCCCTTAAATATTTGTTGAATGATGAATGATAAGGGTCAAATAAAATCTCTTCTGACTCATTCCAACAATATCAGCTCCAAACAGCCCCAAGTGCTCTGTCAGAGGACCTGGCCACTAGTCCCAACTTTGCCTCCCCAAGATCAAATGTCAGCCAGGGGCTCCATTTTCCTGACCTGTATAGGGGGAGCAGCGTACCTAGCCTGCTCGCCTGATGGGGCCTTGCTAGGAAGCTCAAAGAGAAACCTGTGGGAGTGCAGACCGGGGTAGGGAAGGGCCTCTCAGACCTGAATTCGTGCACGTGCCCTGGAGCTCTTGCTCAGAGGCAGGCTCTGACTCAGACCTGGTGGGCCCATGACTCTGCCTTTCAAACAAGCCCCCCAGTGACGCTCTGCTCCTGGTCCTCAGGCCACACTTGCAGTGATCAGAACTCAGTTCTGAAGCTAAAGTGGTGCTTGGTCCCTGGAGCCTAAGGAGTGCTCGCTTCTCCGACACGGCAAGGAGAGACGGTGCTCACGGGCCCCTCACCCCCTCACTAACGGCAGATATTCAGTGCTGCTGATTTAGTGACCCTGCTCTCATTTTATTATATAGCTCGTTCCTGGCAAACATTAGCCCGAACTCCCTGGCTAAGCACCAACTAGGGTTGGGAGCTTCGTGATCCTCTGTCGTATTTGGGCGGCTAACCTGGGGCCTGCTCAGTGTTCCTCAGTCCCCTTGACTTCCTTCTTTATTTGTTTTGGGTGTGACTAATCCCACACCGCTTTTAGGCCTGCAGCCTTTTCCTGGGTAATTTGTAAGCTGATATGTTTTCCAGGAGACATTTAATCAGAGACTCATTGCTCGGCCTCAGATGGTTTATTGTGTAAGAGGCACAGGGGATCCGGCCGGGGAAGAGGTTCTGGTGAAGAAACAGCGTCCAAGGACAGCGGAAGGAGGCCTGTCCTCCCACCTCCCCCTCTCCTGCCCCCCACCCCCAGCTCCCTGCTCAGCTGTCCCATGACAACAGATGTGCTGATTTCTGCATAACAGAAATATTAGTTCCTGCCACTGATGTAGGCTTTCTCCCATGCAGTTTGAGAGCGAGCGGCAGTTTTAAGGTTTGAACAGTCCGTGGAGGGGTTGTGTGGCTGCTGACAGATGGGACGGGGAGGAAGCAGGGCTGGCATCACAATGTAGGGATGGTTTACGATCTCGTTTGCTCAGGTTGTCATAGTCAGTCATGTTGAAACCCATGTTATGACCTTTAACCTCATGCTTTTGGTTGCTGGCACATAGACGTAGTAAGTTAAAGTGCTGGAGTGACTAACCATCCAGTTTACCCAGAACTTACCCAGTTTTCGCATAAAAAGTCTCACATCCCCGTTTTAACATGGAAATGGCCCCCTAGATGGGACCAAGGTTTGAATCCAGGACTATCGTATGTATTGCACAGCTCCTCACACTGTAATGACAACCTCTTGGTTAAAAGGTAGAGTCCAGTTCAGTGGGTCCAGGGCAGGACCTGGGGTTTTTGGTTTCTAACAAGCTCGGGCGATGGCGGCGATGCTGTGGGCCAGGACCACACTGTGAGAAGCAGAGCCCTAAGCATCGCTTCCACAGCAGCCCCGAAGCTCAGCCCCCACATGGGCCCCTGCCGTGTGGGGCCCGGTATGGCCATCAGCCCAGAGAGCCCACCAGAACCAGGGGTGACGGTCCTGCCAGTTCATTGGTGGGGACTCCAGGGACTTCTGGTGTAGCCCCTCCCCTCTCCACTGACCCCTCTGACCTCAGACAAGCCCTCTCCCTCCCCTGTGGGAGCCTCACCACCTGCCCGATTCCCCTGACATTTATTGAGGGACCTCAATGCCAAGTTCATGTCTCTCAGGTGTAGGCCTGGGAAAGCCCTCTAACCGCTGCCTGCATGGGTGCTTCAGACCTGCAGGTCTGTCCCCTTGAGATCTGAGTGAGCAGACCTGACTGCAGGCAAAACTCAAATTGAATTTGGGGGACTGATCCAATAACTATGGTTAGGGAGGCTTCTGCCTGCCATCAAATATATGTCTAGTTATAATGTGAAATTTTGGGACCATTCCAGCACCATTGTTTGGGACTCCTAGAATAGGAACCATGTAGGTTCAACCTCAAAAGACTGGAGATAATGTTGGCACTGAAGTACTTGGTAATGGCCTTTGGATCTATTATACCTAATCCAGGTTCTGTCTGGCACTGTCTCTCTGATCTGGCCCCACCTGAGTATTCATCAACAAGACTGCAACATGTCGAACATCAGAAGTTACGCAGGTCTCATAAAAAGTGTGAGCTTGTACGTGGCTTGAGTTCACACTCTGCCACTTACAAGCTGAGCAACTTTGCATTAATTGCTTCCTGGGCCTCAGTTTTCCTATCTATGAAATGGGTTTGTTATTACCTGTCTGGCCACACCATGGTGAGAATGGAGGAAGATCATAGGAAGCACTCAGTAAATACTACCATCACCACTACCAATCACTGTTATTCTTCCCTCAAGAGACGTAGCTCAGAAAATAAGTATTTTGTCTTGATGCATTGGTGATGGCACAGAGTTGCCAGCACAGCCTCGGACAACCTGGTCAAGGACAGATACAGCAATGCTCTCATTTCTCTCTGTCCTGTTCTCCTGCATGCCTGCTAAAGAAACCATGTTGCATTGTCTCCACAGGTACAGGGAGGATTTGGATGGATGATGTCGCCTGCAAGGGCACAGAAGATACCATCTTCCGCTGCAACTTCTCCAAGTGGGGGGTGACAAACTGCGGACACGCTGAGGACGCTGGAGTTACGTGCAACAGACACTGAAAGCGGATACAGCCAAGGTCTGGGCCCCACTGCCCAGCCCCCTTTCTGCATTCCTAGGGTGGGGGCATTGCTGGGGCACGTCTGACCACACCTCTGCCCTGTGTAAGCCAGCATTCTCCTCCCTCCCCGCCCCCATTCCTATCCCAAGACCTCAGTGGCCTGTCATCATTCTCCTCTTGGACATCTGCTCCAAACTGTATCTCTGGGACCTACAGCCTGGAGCTTCCCTCCACCAGAACTCCTGAGGGTGGAGTCCCGGTGGACTAGATCGCCATTTTGCCCAGCTTTCGAAGCACCATGCATCAGGTCTCAACATCAATGTTCCCTTCGATCTGTCAGTTACAGGTGGATGCTGGCACTATGTTGGAGACAAATGCCGCAGTGGAGATATCACGGATCATTCACTCTTCAGATAATTCCCAAACCTCAGTTCATCCAAGAGTTTTGACATCTTCCTTCCCAGCAAGAGACAATCCTGAACAATCCGGCTTCCCCTCTTTACGCTGCCTCTGCATCCTTTTGTTGGTTTGGGGAAGTGACGGCTGTAGGAATGAGAGGGAAATCGAGTCACCTGCAGGAATTAATTTGGATTTGGAAAAGGAGAGTGAAACTCACATTTACTGAATGATCACCAGGTGTGCTAAAGTGTCTTTGGGTACTAAATGTATCCACTTTGCGGCGTTTCTAAAAGGCGTGTTAGCTCAGGTAAGTAAGATCTTACCTGCATTCACCTGGCCTAGAAGTCATAAAAGGGAGAATGATGGAGACCATGGTGTCCACGTGAACCTTAGTGTGTCTTTACTAGGCTTGAGCAAGAAGCTCGGGTGCAAGACCTGTGCGCCTAGAAAGGTTACTTATTCCCAAACATATGGAGGATGCGTGCAAGGGAAGACATGACTGGCTCCCAGGCCAACCATTCCCAGAGAAGGAAGGGTGTTTTGGAGGGTGAGGTGGGGGCGGTCGTTGTTAAACAGAGACCAACACTCAGACATCCGGCAGTCAGGGTTCAAGCCAAGTCGCCTTCATCTCAGAGCTGTTTGGAGGTGATGACATTGAATGTGTCCTGATGGGTAAGAGGAGAAGGAAATGAGGATGTCTTATAACCTCCAGGGGAAAAAAGGGCCCTAGGCTTCTGCAAATCCTCCATCCGCACCCTCTCCTGGCGATAGGGGCATCATATTCTGCTTTTGACACAAGAGGGAGATCAAAATGGGCCACCTGTGTGTTCCAGGACCAGCGAGGAAGCACAAACCCACCTCACGTGGGGGCATCCCAGACTCACAGCCACCTGCTGTGAGCATCAGGCGAGCATCAGCCTGACTGGGGAAAGGGACCCTCCAGGGGTGGGCCCAACCAGCTCTTCGCTGACAACAAAACCAATATGTGTTGTTGGTTGTTATTTGCTTACAATATGCTTGTTATTCATTAATGCCCTAACGATCAGAGACTCTCTTTCTGACCCATTGCTATGTTTACATAACTCGCATGTACTCATGCACTTTTTCCAGAGCCAATCTATGTATGCATATATAAACATGGCACTGTTTACATCATAGCTCAGCACATTGCAATGTTTGTATTGGGAGGGGAAAAAATACTAAAGTGGAAAGATGTCACATGGAATGGGATAGATTCCCAAAGTGGCAAAGAAGCCAGTTACCCCACCGATGAAGACCCCCATGACGTTCTTACTTGGTCTTTTCATTTGGGAAAACACAAGTCTTGTCTTACATCAACTAAAAATGATGGTAATAAGTGTTGAACCTTAAAAAATAATAAGTCTACTAGTTTACATACCTACTTAAGGGGACTTGGAAATCCCCATGGGCCTGTGTTTCAGGGACTAAAGGACATTAGGCCTGGCCTAAAACACATCAGACCCTTTGTAAGAAAGAATTGCAATAAAGTTAAGAACATGTCACTGACGCGCTTTGCTTCACTTTTTTTCTCATGGAAACCCAGGGAGATGGGGGGAGCACTTCTCGATAGGACTGTGGTAGAAGGGACATCTTAGGAGCCGGTGCCTAATACTTCCTGAGGACAGACAACAACACAGACCAAGGACACGCCCCAGGCCTTGTTTGGTCACCTAGGAAAGGGTCCCAAGCAACAGAATAGTAACCAAGGCTCCAGTTATTAAAACAATTGCTTTTGTAGTCCATAAAGGGCAAAACACTTGTCTATTTCCTCACATCTCCAGAGGTTTCACTTAGACATGTGCTTCCACCTGGAGTTCTATTGACGTGTGAGAAGATCGTCCCGATGTGGGTGCCAGGTCTGTGGAGTCGTGGAGCCTCACCCCCTGCTGAGCGGCAGGACCTCTCAGGCTCGGGACCTGAGCGGTGCACGCGGATGGCCCAGGCCTCTGCGCAGTCCTGTCCACGTGCTCGTAGCTGGTGCATCTGGGCTTGTCTATCTAATGGCCCCGGGCTTGCTGTGGGCTGTGATACTTTGGTAACGGAAGTGAACAGAGGAAATTTGATTTCTGGAAGTCTATAGAGGAGACATCCTAGTTGTCTCCTTTTAAAAGCTGGGCGATGCCCACCCCAGATCTCAGTGTCTCCCATTCTGTAACCAGCCCCTTCTTGTCCTGCCCTCTCTAATGTCTACACAGCACTGCCTGTGTCCTCCGCTCAAATGCCTGTGAGGAGCCACCTTCAGGGCCTGCAGGTGCTGTAGTTAAACCACTCACTCTCGTGGGCGTGCACTGTGGAAAGGGGTTCCAGCTTTCTCCACCATTGGCACCCCTTAGTTTCCTCAGCCACATTGTTTTATTCCAGTTATCCTAACATTTCTGTAAAATGTCAAATAAGCTAATCACGTGTCTTTATCTTTTTAAAAAATATATTTTATTGATTTTTTTTTTTTTTTTACGAAGAGGAAGGGAGAGGGATAGAGAGCTAAAACATCAATGAGAAACATCAATCAGCTTTATCCTGCACACCCCCCACTGGGGATGTGCCCACAACCAAGGTACATGCCTTTGACGGGAATCAAAACTGGGACCCTTAAGTCCGCAGGCTGACGCTCTATCCACTTAGCCAAACCGGTTTAGGCATGTGTCTTTATCTTTCTAAATTAGCTCTGCCGCCCGGAGCAGCGGCTGCCAGGCTGGGAGCGGCCAGGCCCGGAGCAGCAGCAGCCAAGTCCAGAGCAACTAGGTCGGGAGCGGCAGTGACCAGACCTGGAGCAGCTGGTTGTGGAATGAACCAGAGCAACAGAGGCCAGGCCCTGAGCAGCCAGGCCCAGAACAGCTTGCTCCTTGCCTGCCCCTGCCCCACGGCTGCTTCTCAGACATGGCTGGAAACTTTCGTGGGAACTTGAGGGTCTGCTGAATCAAGTGATGAAGGCTTAGATCTGGATGTGTTGAGTTAGTTTAGGACTGGGGTGTTGATCTGTGAGTGCCTTGGGTGGGGCCTGGATGAGGCTGGTTGACCTAGTGGGAAATGTCTTTTGTGTGAAGTGTATCATTGGGCATGTGGAGGTATTATTGATATGAGAAAATGCTAAGTAACTGATTTACTATCTGAAAAGGGATTTACTATTGGGGAAATTGAGGGAAGAAGAGACTGAACATAAACTGCACCTATGGATGAGGACAATGGGGGATGGGGAGGGGGCAGAGGGTGGGGTGGGAACCTGGTGGAGGGGGGAAGAAATGAGGAACCTTTGTAATAATATGAACAATAAAGGTTGATTTAAAAAAAATAAATAAATAAAATAAAAAAATAAAAATAAATTAGCTCTGCCTTCAGCCCTTCATAGATACCCCTCTCTCGTTTCTCTTTTCCTCTCCTTCCCTTCCGCCGTTAGCTTTCTGGAGCTGGGATGGGCTTCTGACCGACCGAAGCTTTGTCGTTTACCCCTCTCCACCAGCCCACACCAGGCAGAACATGCTCCGAAGCTCCTGCGAAGGCTGTTCAGTTCCCTGAATCCTTCTCCCACTCTGACTTCAGGGAAAATTTTTTAAAGTCTTTAAAAATTTTTAAAACTTGCCAAAACCGGTTTGGCTCAGTGGTAGAGCGTCAGTCTTCTGACTGAAGGGTTCCGGGTTCGATTCCGGACAGGGGCATGTACCTTGGTTGCGGGCACATCCCCGGTAGGGGGTGTGCAGGAGGCAGCTGGTTGATGTTTCTCTCTCATCGACGTTTCTAGCTCTCTATCTCTCTTCCTCTCTGTAAAAAATCAATAAAATATATTTTTTTAAAAAATTTTTAAAAACTTGTCAAGTCATTGCTAGGGACTCTCTCGTTCAAACATAGCCACCAAAGGTAACCATTTCTTCTAGACCAAATTATATTTTTAAACATTTAGACAAATAAGCAAAAAAGTCAAGGTTTTAAAAAACATCAATAAGTAACATTGGCTCTCCTCTCCTTTAGAGTCAAAGATAAGAAATAAAAATGTAGTAAGTACTTATAACAGAGTCATAAGACAATTCTGTAGGTTAATTTTTCCACTTTATAGATAAGGAAAGTGACCCTCCGAAAGGAGAGTAAATAACCCTAAGTGGCACAGCCGATGAGTGGCTGAGTTGAGACTTAAGATCAGATCTAAACCTAAAGCTGTACCGTGTTGCCTCTACAAGCTGGATGGCACGAATCCATTCCTTTTCACAATAAAGAGAATGAATTCATTCAAACTGAATGCATGTGGTACAGTTCTAGAACGTCGAAAGTGGGTATTCAAAGTTAAGAAAGCAGCATTCTTTGCCTCCAGGAAGCTCTCAATCTAGTGGAAAAGACAAGATCATGACAATGTGGTATTAATCAGTGCAAACCAGAGGAGTGGAAAGATTGCAGTGGAATAATGAAGAACTTTTCTGTGGTTGGTGTTATGGACAATGACCCTAAACAAACATCATTACCATTAGGCCTTCTTTAGCAGTCAGTACTTGACTCTGCCATGGAATATTAAAAAAATGTGGGCCTGGCCGGTGTGGCTCGTGGTTGAGCATTGACCCATGCACCAGAAGGTAACAGTTCAGTTCCTGGTTAGGG